GTGATATCTTACTACTGCCACCAGCCCTTGACCCTCTCACCAGCCCATGACCATTCACTAGTCCTTGATCCTCACCAGCCCATGACCCACACCAACCCATGACCCTCACTAACCCTTGACCCTCACCAGCCCATGACCCTCACTAGTCCTTGATCCTCACCAGCCCATGACCCTCACCAGCCCATGACCCTCACTAGTCCTTGATCCTCACCAGCCCATGACCCACACCAACCCATGACCCTCACTAACCCTTGACCCTCACCAGCCCATGACCCTCACTAGTCCTTGATCCTCACCAGCCCATGACCCTCACCAGCCCATGATCCTCACCAGCCCATGATCCTCACTAGTCCATGACCCTTACCAGCCAATGACCCTGACCAGCCCATGATCCACACTAGCCCATGACCCTCAACAGCCCTTGACCCTTACCGGCCCATGACCCTCACCAGCCCATGATCCTCACCAGCCCATCATACAATAAATATGTATTTTGCAAGGTTTAAAATCTAGTGGCAGGTTGTTTAGTCTTTAATGACACAGAAATTAAACTTCTTTTAACAAGAAGGTGGTGGTAGATGGTGCGAACATTATATAAGGACTTGGAGCTGCTTATATTACCGTCCACTAGTGGCCTCCCGGACCGTGACCAACCAGCCGAACCTCCGCTCACTGTCAGACAACACGTGTTAGTGTGTGTGTGTGTGTGTGTGTGTGTGTGTGTGTGTGTGTGTGTGTGTGTGTGTGTGTGTGTGTGTGTGTGTGTGTGTGTGTGTGTCTGACTTGTGTGTGTGTGTGTGTGTGTGTGTGTGTGTGTGTGTGTGCTTTGTGTGTGCGTGTGTGGTGTGTTTTGTGTGTGTGTGTGTGTGTGTGTGTGTGTGTGTGTGTGTGTGTGTATTGGGTAACTTAAGAGGTGCAAAACAAGATGACTCGTTAAATTAATTTACGATGATAATGTGTCAAATATTTGTTTTTAATCATAATGACATACAAATTTTCAGTATGTACAGTATATAGAACCAATAACACGTAATTTTGTGGAGATTTAGCAATGTATATATATATATATATATATATATATATATATATATATATATATATATATATATATATATATATATATATATATATATATGCATATATGCTTTACTGACACCTTATGACTATGTTTATAGTATTTAGTTACGTTTTACACACCGTTGAATAAAATTAGAAGACTAAAGAATAAATAAATAAGAAGCAGGAGCGAGAGAACCAAGAAAAAATATAAAACTGGACAGAAGAAAGAGGCAGGAGGACGCCGGGCTCCAGCACAACACTGAGGCAGTCCCAACCATAAGAGCAGCGCCAGCACGAGCAATTAGCAGCGCCTGGTGATTCCTTCCACCCCGCGGTGACTCACTGGTGGAAGCTGTGCCGGAGGAATATTTACTCTGCCTGTGAGGGCCTTGGTGCTGTGTTATGGTGGGGCCACATGATCAACGGCACGAGGCAGTCCACACGGGAGGGAGGTGGAGGTGATACACCAGTGTGTGAAGTGAGGAGGTTGCGCCACACCCTGCTGCTCCTCCACTACCCACCATGCAACTAAGTGGTCCTCGGCGCCGAGTAAGACTCCACTGCTGAGTGATCGGGATGCAAGACTTGCAACACGGAGCGGGTAGTAGGCAGACATATCAACACGGAGTGAGCAGCAAGATATCGTCATCATGTGGGGAAGAGGCAGAGGTGTTGCCTCCACACGAAAGGGAAGCAGAGTTGTGAAGATTGCGTTTATGGAAAGCGACGTCAGTAAGGAAGGGCTAAGAGCTATCTAGTGGGTGATACAGTAAGCTGTTGTCACCTGACGGAGAAGTAGAGCCACCACTGACACAGGTACTTGTATTACTATAAAGTGAAAGGCAGAGGTCACACCCTCAGGTGGATGCGATTCCGAATTGCTACCATGGCATTAGTGGTAAATATAGTTGCCACCAACAGGGTGAATGGAGAGTTAATTTTACACCAGAGTATGGTAGGGAAGCAAAGTTGCCAGTAGAGTGGAAAGAAGTGCCACCACATGGTGAGCTGAAAGCAGAGGTGCCACCACTTGGTGAGAGGGAAGCAGAGGTGCCACCACTTGGTGAGAGGGAAGCAGAGGTGCCACCACTTGGTGAGAGGGAAGCAGAGGTGCCACCACTTGGTGAGAGGGAAGCAGAGGTGCTACCACTTGGCGAGAGGGAAGCAGAATTACGACCTCTTCTGTGATCTGAGAAACGGAGCCATGGGGTGAGTCAGGCAGAGAAGGCATGAACCACTGTCAACATTGGCTGGACTACTGGTAGGTATATGGGATCATCCTCTGTTGTACTCTCTCTCTCTCTCTCTCCATCTCTACAGTATGTATAATTTACTGAAACATGCCAATAGACCGAATGGAAATGTGAAAACATTAAGCTGATATGTTAACAATTTCATGTACGTAGCGACAGTAACGCCATATTTGTCGAGGCAACATTCAATATACAGTGTATCCCACCAGCCAACGTTCAGACATGGGCTGTAGTGAGTGACAACACAACACCGTCGAGGTCGTGAGCAGTGAGGTCACAATTTCAACAAACAGGAAAAGCACAAAAATATTAAGCATGAAAAAGAAAGAAGAGATGTGGATGACAGATCCTCTGATGTTGGTCCTTGGTTCTGTTCTCGGAGGTCTGTTCAGGTGCAGGTATGAGGCGGCCTCCGGCTCGTGAGGGTCACCAGTGTGTTCACCACTCACTCACAAACAATGTGTTCTCAACAAATGTAAAAAAAAGAAATGTTAGCGTGAGGTGGCATCAGAAGATTTTTTTGGCACTCACACAGCAAGTTTCAGGCCCCAGTGCAACAACACTTAGGGAATGAAATCACTATTTATTTTTCAGCTTTGTGAACATTGGGTGAAGAAGATATCGCCAGCCATTGTTGTGAAGGTGACGGAGTGATTCACCTGTCCACCCTGGCTAACAATAAAGTCAACCTCCGACATTGAAACAAGTTCATAGTGAAGACAAATTAAAAACTAAAGTTGCTGTATGGAGCGGGATTCATCTCAAGTCTTACCCGCCCTTCTCAAGCTCAAATTTTTAACAAGGTACTTTTTTTTTTATTTGGTTCTTTCAGAAAAAACCCCCCAACAACTAATGCATTCACTATGAACCTCTCACTGTGTTCCTGATCTCGGTCAAGTGTAAGTGATTTGTCCACAATGCAGTGATGGTGAAAAATAAATAAATATCAGGTTGTGTTTTTTTTACCTGGCTATAGTTCTCCCATGCTCACTTCTTCAAATGTTTGAGAGTTGAGGGGTTTCAGTGCGGGAAGGTCTCTGCCTCTCTCTCTCTGAATAAACAGACAGCATAGTGCTTGGCTTTGTTGGTAAGGTTAAGAGGATTATACGCTGTTACTGAGTTACACCCAGCACAGCATCTTTAAATAGACGTACAGCTGATGACAGAGACACTAAATAGGCATATATATCCAGTCTCCTAAACCGCCAAAAACATTGACAGTACCGCCATCTTGGATCATCAAACCTCTAGATAACGAAGATAATAACATTTACACTAAAACAAAAATCACACAAATAAGAAAAAACAAACAAACAAGAACATCAATACCACATATAAATCGTTTAAGAATAACAATAATGAAAGAGCAAAACACAGTACTCCAGTTAAGTGCTTCAATAAGTGAACCCTAAGACAAGTAGTACTAAGTTACGGTAAAGATACACACACAGTGAGGGCGGGGCGGGGCGGGGCGGGGCGAGGCGGGGCGGGGCGAAAACAACCAAAGCTGTACTTGTATGAACTATATAATGGACATCTGCCTCTGTTGCCAAGGTATAACTTATGCCTTCAAAAACTTTACTTGGTACTACTGTTGTGGATATTGTGGTACTAGTGTGGGTATTGTGGTACTAGTGTGGGTATTGTGGTACTAGTGTGGATATTGTGGTACTAGTGTGGGTATCGTGGTACTAGTGTGGGTATTGTGGTACTAGTGTGGGTATTGTGGTACTAGTGTGGGTATTGTGGTACTAGTGTGGGTATTGTGGTACTAATGTGGGTATTGTGATACTTGTGTGGTTATTGTGGTACTAGTGTGGGTATTGTGGTACTAGTGTGGGTATTGTGGTACTAATGTGGGTATTGTGATACTATTGCTTTCCCTAGTACTACAGTGGTTCCAAGTGGACTCTCCTAGTACTACAGTGGTTCCAAGTGGACTCTCCTAGTACTACAGTGTTACTAAGTGTACAGACTCTCTTAGTGCCACAGTGTTGCCAAGTATACAGACTCCTAGTACTACAGTGGTGCCAAGTGTACAGACTCTCCTAGACAGTGTTGTCAAGTGTACAGACTCTCCAAGTACTACAGTGCAGGGAGTCAGGACCGGGAGGAACTGGGTACATCACACCAACAAACGTGTACTGTAGAACACACCTTTAATTTATAGTGCAGGTGTGTGTGTGTGCAGGTGTGTGTGTGTGTGTGTGTGTGTGTGTGTGTGTGTGTGGATGAGTGTATGTATGTGTGTTTGTTTGTATGTGTGCATGTATGTGCGTGTGTGTATTTGTATGTATTTATGTACAGCGTTTGTATGTATGTATGTATGTAATAATAATAATAATGTATGTATGTGTAAGTGCGTGTGCGTGCGTGTATGTATATGTGTTTGTTTGTATGTATGTGTGTTCAGTATGTGTGTGTGTGTGTGTGTGTGTGGTTCAGGGTAGGCTACACCACTTGACAACTACCACACCCCTTGGCTTTGTTGACATTTGAACTTTGATGGTGTGGGGGGGTGGGGGGTGTAGGATGGGGTGTAGAAGAGTGTAGGTGAAGGGAGCCTGGGTGTGCGTGTGTGTGTGTGTGTGTGTGTGTGTGTGTGACAGCGAGGTGTAGTGCTCCTTTAGTGCGAGGGTGGAGAGAGAGAGAGATCCATGGTCCCTGGTACAGCACTGGCCAGCCTACCTGGTTAAATATACTGGGCTGTGACTCGGAGGCAAGGTAGCGGCTACTGGGACCCTCCGCCTCATTGTTGTTGCCGACGTGTCTGGTGGCCGGGGGAGCTGCTGCGTCCTAGTGGAGGAGGGAGTAGGTGGAGCCAGTGGATATTGGAGGTCGGGGGGCGGGAAACCAGGGCAAGCATGGAGCGCAGCTAAGGCGATGGAGCAAACTCAGGGCCCGTATACCAAAGAGGGGGAAGGGAAGGAGGGAACAGGGGGATTACAAGATGAGCTCAGGACAAGCATCAAATTTTTATATATTCCTCTGAGGTTCCGGTCGGTAGGTGGCAAAGTAGTAGTTTACGGAAGGCAATATTGAGGGTTGGGGGGTGGTATGTTGATGTCCAGCCCTAGGTCATTAACTGGGACTTTTGGAGGTAGAGGGTCACTTTGGAAACAAAACAAAACAAAAACATAACCAACATCAACTATATATTTGGGCGGTTGGTTACATCAGAGACTCGGTTGCGCTGTCTCACTGGGGGAGGGGTACACAGGCCGTCACGGTATATAAATGTTACTCTGGCAGTAAGCCAAGAAGAGATTAGTCAGAAACGGTAGACGATATATATAAATATATATATATATATATATATATATATATATATATATATATATATATATATATATATATATATATATATATATATATATATATATATATATATATATGAACTTAAGTAGCAGTGAGGAGGCTAGAGTGTGCCTTGGAACATTGATGGGTGATGTGAGTACTGCTGCCAAGTGTGCCTCTGGACATTTAGTATATGATGTAGGGAGTAGTGTGTGCCGCTGGACATGATGTGGAGAGAGCTGAAGGATGTGCCGCGGGACAGAGATACATGATACACGCACAGCCGCTATTGTGCCATTCGACGCCAACAAAAGTTGACAAGTGAACATCGAGAGTGTTGAGCGTGACACTGATGCAAGACCGGGATACAGCCAGTGTGTGCCATAGGACCTGGTACAGTGCCACAGGACCTGGTACAGTGCCATAGGACCTGGTACAGTGCCACAGGACCTGGTACAGTGCCACAGGACCTGGTACAGTGCCATGGATACAGCGGTGGAAAAGAGTAATCCATGGAGACAGTTATGCATTGCGACGATGTACAGAAAATTAGTATAATAATAATAAATACAATTGTGTTTACTGAAAAATAAACCCATATAAACAATGATGGTAAGAAGGAGTATTTACAAGAAAGGAGTACAACAAGGAGTAGAGGAGGGAGGGGGTACACACCATAAGGGGGGGGGGTACAGGAGGGGGGGTAGGGAACATCTGACGTCTGCAGTGGAATTTCCTTCAACTGGTATATTGACTATCATTACTTAACAGAACCAACTACTTTCAATCACAATTTCTCAAGTAATATTTTCTAATAAGTAAAAAAAAAAGAAGAAGCAAAACAAGTGAAGTGATAAAAGGTAACAAGTGACAGACTGCAGAAGAGATGTTACCTGCAAGAACACACAGTACAGGTCTTAGCGCACTACTTTGTTTGGTTCTTCTGAGATAATGTTTAACTGTGTTTTAGTCATCAATGGTTTTCTATATGAGTCATCGTGTACCTTAATAATTATGTTGACCATGAGGGAGAGATGGAAGAGTTATTCTTGTACCCATAAGAAAAAGAGTACCTTAGAGAATAAGATGAAAGAGGAAGAAGGTAAGGTAAGAGTGATTAAGAACAGGTAACAGACAATACCTTACTTGACATACCTCACACTGAACTCGACTAAATAGACACTTCACAAATTAGTATCGACCTCAGAGCTCGGAAGAATATACTAAACCTGACAACAAGAATAACGATGATAACTATTAACTAACTAACTAATTAAAGAGGATATAAGAAGTGTTTCAGTTAGTTAGTTATGGGGAGGGAAGATGAGGGCCATAGTGACCAGTTGTGTAGGAAACAATGATCGGCTGCTCAGAACTGTACACTTAATAGAGTTAGTGTTGGTGATGCACGGAACATAGAGCAAACGTTCTCCTGGCAACACGCTGGGCCAGTCTCCTACCTGGACGACGCTTGTGGCTACAGGTGTGAATGATACTTTGTCTTTTTTTGTCGTTACTTTTCTAAACTATATGATTCTTTTTCCCGTTAATCAATTACACACACACACACACACACACACACACACACACACATGACCAGTCCAGGCCCAGGCCATCAACTGTAAACTATAATAATTTGTATGTTCAAGTCACGTTCCTTTTCCTTTCAGTAATGAAAGATTTTGTTAAACGACCCACCTACCTCATGTCTTTGTATGTAATAAGTAATTTTTGTCCAGTGTATATTTTCAGCCTTCGGGCTGCCGACTTTTTCAATAAACCGTTAATTATTATTATTATTTTTATTTATTACACACACATACATACTGTGTATATATATATATATATATATATATATATATATATATATATATATATATATATATATATATATATATATATATATATATATATATATATATGATCATATAAAAGATATACCGTATACCTTATTTACAACTATACCGGAGCGCATCAAATTGTTTACACGATTAAGATATTGTCAGTCATCGTTAAACGCAAAGTCAACAACACACACTGCGGTTTGGACAGTAAAGTAACTTAAATTTGAATATATCAAGACACACGAGATCATCTTAAGAATAGACAACCCACCTTATTTCACCTGAAGTTTAACCATTCTAACGGTACCTGGTGGTTAGGTTAGGTGTGGTTAGGTTGGGTTAGGCCAGCGTTAAATTAGGTTATATTAGCGTTAGGATGGTTTACCATTGGGTGAAATAAGCTGGGGGCTAATATTCAGTTTATATGACACATGGAGAATTTATAATGAATACTGAAGCCATAAAGAGGACTGTACAAGGCGGAAATATTACACCTTGCTAGACACAGCAGGGCAGACCTTACAGGATTTACGGTATACGAGAGGCTGCAGGACCCAGTAATTTTCTGCCTCACTAACACAAGGGGAGGGTGTTTGAAGGTCTCTTGAGACCCTTCCCCTTATAATTAACTAATGAGAAACAATCCATTTGGAGCGTTGTGTCTCAGGTGTTGCTGGAGTGTGTCTCACTGTGTTGTCATCCAGTGAGTCTTAGGAACGTGTCTACCATCCGGATTGAGTCTTAAAAGAACGTATGTTATTAACCGAGGATGATAAAATTGAAATTCTAGACGCCCGTGTTAAGGTACCCGGCTTTAATTTTTGTTAGAAAATTTTAGAAGACGTACGAAGTTTAATTACGTTTGTAGCTGCCTCTCTGGTGCTTACTGGATGCTTGTGAGTCACTGACCTATCTTAATGACTTGAAACACACACACACACACACACACACACACACACACACACACACACACACACACACACACACACACACACACAAAACTTAAAATAAATGAAGAAAAACAAAAAGGTTATCTTTAAGACGGTTCTCACGAGTCATAAACAAACGCTCGATTTGCTTCATGTTCCGTGCAAGATGGTCTATTTAACCAGGAATCTCTCTCTATAAAAAATTCTTCATATACAGCATATCTTACGAAAAGAAAAAATTAATCTTTCATCAGTGACATCTAAGAGCTAATCATTACGAGATCAACATAGGTAGGTACCTTAGTGGAGCAAAAACAACAATCAAGCTCATTGACTGTGTCCCCAAGAGTTAGAAGCTGTCGTTCCTTTCTCTTCAACTCCTAGAAGGTAGAAAAAATGGATACTTTGCTATTATAGAAACTGAAGAGAGAGAGAGAGAGAGAGAGAGAGAGAGAGAGAGAGAGAGAGAGAGAGAGAGAGAGAGAGAGAGAGAGAGAGAGAAGGTCGAGGGGGAGGTGAAAATAATAATGATAACAATATTAATTTACTGGGATAAGCAAATACGAAAGGATAAATAAGGGAGGGAAGAATAAGGGAGATATCGGTGCAGTTAAGGAATTTTATTGAGATGGGAAGCAGCAGGTGGTCCAAGGGCTGTGATTTAAGGACAATTTATCATCTTGAGTTTAGTAAGAGGTTATAGCTGTGAGGAGGAGGCTAAGAGGCAAGGAGGGATTACTTAGCGTGGCAAACACAAGGGGGAGATTACAACTACTTTTACATCTATGTAAATTAATCTAAATGGAGGAACAAAGAGGGTTAACTATTATTATTGTGTGTGGGACTTAAACATGAAAAATGGCCTGCTTTGTTTTTTTTAACTCCCTCCAAAAAAAAAAAAAAAAAATGAGGATTCACGACTGACACAAATTTTTACCATGATAGATGAGGACACACCATTAATTTATATATATATATATATATATATATATATATATATATATATATATATATATATATATATATATATATATATATATATATATATATCATGGTGACAGTTAATAGATTATGATGGAAACACGATGAATGAGAGTATTGAGGAATTACACTAATAATATGGACCAAAAAATATCCTCGTTTCTCAAGGTATTCGACAGGTAGACAGCTGAATGTAGTTGTACAGAATGGTCTTGGAAAATTTTGGAGAGAGAGAGAGAGAGAGAGAGAGAGAGAGAGAGAGAGAGAGAGAGAGAGAGAGAGAGAGAGAGAGAGAGAGAGAGAGAGAGAGAGAGAGAGAGAGAGAGAGAGAGAGAGAGGTATTGTAAATTGACAGGGATAGCAAAAAAAAATGAACAGATTGATCTGGAAAATTGGACAACTCTGTAAACTGAAGGGCTATGAAGAAAGAAAAAAAATGGCAAGGGGTGAAATAATCTTATAACTTGGGGCATAAAGAACAAGAGAGACGTAAAGAAAGGTGTTGACAATGATTTACAGAGGTGAACACAATAGCATTTATAAATAGAAGTGATTAACGACATTGATAAAGAAGAAGACCTAGTTTGGTAATTAAATACTAACTACCCAAAGTCTCTTAAACTACCCAATTATTAGTTCTGAGAAGATTATAACTATCACTTCAGATGTAACATTTAAACCGATTTATCTGACTGTAAGAAGGAATGATTACAAGCTTTTATAAATATATAGACAGAGAAATATTATTGAGAGCTCATTTTATTATCGTAAATTATTGGTCTATGATAAGAAATACTCAAAGATTGAAGAATAATAATGAAACGGAAGATAAGGATGTCTTCTAATAAATGAAAACATTATTATATACTGTATGTATTATAAGTATATACCCTATAATATATAATAATAATAATGTACAGTATATTTATTTATATTGCATTTATACGAAGACTGAAACCTTTTGATATATATATAGTTAATCGTGCAGTCGACATTAACGTATCACACACAGCGACTAACTAATACAGGCAGAACGGGTAGCACTTCAACGATGGAGGAGGAGGAGAAGGAGAAGGAGGAAGGAGGAAGATAAAGAAGAGGAGGAGGAAGAGAGGCTAAAATGAAAGGAGACATCGACGTTCCCAAAATAAAAAAAACATATATATATATATTAATTACAAAAAAAGCTTTCACAAAAATCTAACGACACCCATTACTACAGTACAACACACAAACAACAATAAAGGTCCCTTGAGCTTAGAACAATGATTAATCAACACATAAAGCAACTCTTAACTACAAACACTTATTTCTCTCTCTCTCTCTCTGTCTACAACACTACGTCTACGGCAAGAGAGACCACAACACACTAAGACACACTTGTTTGTTGCTTGCTAAGGCACCATCTGGACAACACTAATGAAGAAGAGATACTCATGCAGTGCTGCCAGCCTATAGACTCACTCACTCTTAGTATCAGGTGACATGATCATTATAATGGTGTGGTGGTAAGTGGTGGGGGGGGATGGGGGAGGGGGGGGGGGGGGAAGGGGAGGGGGAACACCCACACACACTTCTCATCTGTACAATTACTAATACATTATACTGTACCAGGAAGGAGAGGTGGTGGTAGTGGTGGTAGTGGTGTGTCATGTTTTTAGTAGTAGTTGTAGTAATAGTAGTAGTAGTAGTAGTAGTAGTAGTAGTAGTAGTAGTAGTACAGTAATAGTAGTGCTAATAATAATAGCAGTAATATTGTATCAAGCTAGTATCAGTAGTATAGTGTCAGGTTTGTAATCATAGTAGTACTAGTATTAGTAGTAGTAGCAGCAGCAGTAGTAGTAGCATGAGGGAAGTACCACAGTGTCAGGTTAATATCAGTAATAGAGTCAGGACGGCAGCAGCAGCAGCAGCAGTAGTAATAGTAGTAGTAGTAGTAGTAGTAGTAGTAGTAGTAGTAGTAGTAGTAGTAGTAGTAGTAGTATAAGGAACGGTACTTAACAATCAGGCTAAAGTAGGAAATTAAATATAAGGGATAGTTAACTAATTCCCGGAATGAGGCTAGATACTACAGTATCAGGGAAAGGCAGTATAAGGTATAACCTGGGTGTCAGGGAAATGGGAATCAACAACAGTATATACAGTATTAAAATACATATATGTACGAGTATGTATGTATGTATGTATGTATGAGCAGATCAAGTACACACGTTCTATATTCGTATGCATGTATGAATATATGTACGAGCATAACACGCATACATACTATAAACTCGTAGGTATGTATGTATGTATGTATGTATGTATGTATGTATGTATGTATGTATGTATGTATGTATGTATGCATGTATGTATGTATGTATGTACAGTATGTATGAATGAGCATATACAATCTGTCACACTATTGTTAAAAATGGCAAATTACTCTGAGATGACCATATTAAGCGTTAATGCCTGTGTACAGACACAAACGAACGTCTATTCCTGACAGGTGGTAATGAAAGGTGCTCTGGTAGACCATTGTTTATATTATGTCATGGTGTGAAGGTCTTACTATTGGACTGTTCAATTTGAAGAACAAATAAAGATATATTTAGTCAGGTGAACAGTCCTTCTTGAGTACAATGCCATCGTACTCGAAGGGTTAAACTTCTGTACTCAAAGGGTTAAACTTCTGTACTCAAAGGGTTAAACTTCTGTACTCATGGGATAATTCGCTGTACTCAAGTTGGTTAAAGTTACTGTACTCAAAGGGTTTAAAGGCATCGTACTCAAGAGCCTAAATCAGACTTTTAAATTCTTATTCCTCCTAAATCCAAGTGGTAAGTCCCTCACCATCAAGTGTGTTCTGTATTCTGTCTGGCACAAGATTAACTTATCATCTGGTAAATAGTTTGGTGAAAAATAATGCGTTTCTATGTACAGGTGTCACATCAAGGAGAAATAAACATCTATTAAACAGGGTATAAAAATGTACAGGTAAATTATAATACTGTCATAATAATAATAATGGTGATAGAATAATAATAATAATGATAATAGAGTAAAACTTATGTGGATCAGGGAGGTACAGGAATCGAGGAAAAATGGGGTATTGGTTCTAAACAGGCATTTATATATGCAGTATATATAAGATGGAAAGATGGTTCAATAAAAGGGCTCCAGGGTGGGAAGTCCTTCACATAGCAGGATATCCTCTAGAAAAATATAACAAAATCAACAAATAAAAAATAAACATTCAATATATATATATATATATATATATATATATATATATATATATATATATATATATATATATATATATATATATAATAAATATATATAATGTACATATTTATTATGAATGTATCAGACTGGCTGAATCCTCGCGACCTTCTGCGTCGTTTGTGACCGCGAGGAAAGACAAGACAATAATAATTAATGTTTTTTTATCATTCGTTCATGCAGTAGTAATTAAAGAATAAAAATAAAGGGACAAAGGAATTAATCAGTCAATAAAAACAACTTTTGGAAGGCATTATATATATATATATATATATATATATATATATATATATATATATATATATATATATATATATATATATATAATTAAGGCGAGAGAGTTAACAAAAGACGTCTTCTGCTGACCTAAGATCTGCTTTAGGCTTTTGGGAGAACAAAGTTGAGAAACACACAGCGGAGTAGCAAGATAGAGGTGGTGGTGATAACAATGCAGGAGACGGGAAGGAACGAGAGAAAGTACAACAACAAGGTTAAAAGACATAACAGAGAAAATGTAAAGAGAAGGGGAGAAGAGAATAGCTAGAGATTAATAGACAGGAGGGAAAGAAAAGAGAAGCAGAGATAGAACGGAGGCGGCAGGGTCACACATTGGAGGATGGGAGGGAGAAGGATAGGGGGAGGTTAGGAGGGTGGGAGGGGAGGACTTACCGGAGTCTGGTAGTCTGGTGAGGCTGGTGGTCGCTGTTCCTCGGTGGCCGGGAGGTCGAGTATGTTGGGCGCGGGGGCGTTAGTGATCACCCCCGGCTCACCACCCTCGCCCTGCTGCGCCTCCTTCTGCAGGCGACCCATGTGATGTTCGTGGTTCTTGTAGCAACCCGTGCCTGTTTGTCCGGCACGCATCGACTCCCCAGCCACCGAGTTGGCATCTGCCTGGGACATGTTGTGACCTACACCACCGAGAGACAAACAGAGACACATCACCATCTAAACAACGACTGGCCGGGGATGCTACTCAAGCTAGGTGGGTCTCGCTCTCTACTGCTACATGAGCTTCGCTTTGGCTCCTTGCTCGCCTCTGGACTGTTACTGTGGTCAAGTGTGACAGCATGCACGAGTGAAGGAGGTGTGGCACTCCCAAACCTCGACCATCCCCGAGCGTTCATGCCGCGCTAATCTCTCTACAAGACCACTAGAGCAAAAACAAGGTCAGGACCAAAAAATAAAAAGTTACATGAAAGTATCATTCAAAGTCTAAAGTATAATTTGTTATCAAATAAAATAAATGGAAACTACTTTGAAAACAACAGTGGCAGAATGATATGCACGGAGTAATAATATAAAGTTGTGAATTTATCTACCTTAGTAAATCTTTACAACAAGTGGCCCCATTTACAAGAAAAAAAGACATATGACGAACTGAGAGCGAGACTAACTTTACTGTTTAATGAAGGAGCATAAAGGTAAACACAACATGCTTGTTTTGGTCCACCAGAGGAGCGGAGTACACACAGGCTCAGCTCGACATATGGCCAAGTCATTTCCTTCCTTAGTGTCTTCGGCTCAACATGGTAACATCTCCACCTCCTGAACACAAATACTTTAATATATTTGTTATTAATAAATTTAAAACAACAAATACATCTTTATTTACACATCTTTATTTGTAATATAAAAACTTGAATGAAGAGAGGAACCGGTTTTTAGCCTACAGTACAACAGAAGGAGGAGATGACTGATGGAAAAAGTGAACACTTAAAATACCTGAAACATGACACTGATTGAGGTACAAGAGGAGAAAGGCCTACCTCAGAGTGAAGCACAGGTACCAACACTACCCTACACAAGCATGCTTTAAGTCGCTGTTTCTTGTGTCTTTGCTTTTTGCAAAACACTTGAGCATTTATTCTAAAAAAAGAAAAAAATTCCTTGGCACTTGTAAATCTGTACACATTTGTTTAATTTGTGATTAATACTACAAATACGTAGTATGATTTAACCAAAGTATTTTTTTTCCTTTCAGAATAAATGCTCAAGGGTTTTGTCAACACAGGGTATTGGTGCCTTGTTCAACAACTACATTAAAATAAACATGAAAACTTTTGGTTTCACAAACAAAAAATAAAAATTTCACACAAAATTAATGAAGAAAAACCATCAGAAACCAAAGAAGTGAATCACTGACAGTCTACAAAAAGGAGAAACCTTCTCATCAAATATCTTATGTTAGGTTCGTACGAGGAGGATAGAGGCGTACCGGATGCAACTATTTTTGGGACATCATGAGCAACTAATCCATCTAGGAGAAAAAATCATTAGACCAATGTATTTAGAAATCTGCTTTCCGTCATTAAGTTTTATCTAGGCCAATATACTGTTGCAAATACATTGTCTACTGGCGCTACGGGTCCACTAGTTTAATTCCTTCAAACCATATCCTTGAGGAGTGACAACCGTACTGCTTCATATTAGGCGCCAAAAATACGTATAAATATTGCAACTGCATTCTATTGATCATCAAAATTACCTTTACAAAGTACTTGAACAATATGCAGAGAAATTCTAAATTACTAACATGTCACCAGCCATCACTAAGCTTAATTAAGACAAGCCTTCCTGTACAGTAAACTTGGTGCACCAATCTATGAGAGTTACAGGCAAAACCGCCTTAAAAAGTCCATTCCTTGAGGCAAGTACCGTCAACCACTCTAGGGGAGCTCTAGCTCTAGCCGAGTGTACAAGGTGCTGGCAACTAGAAGTGACAGAATTATTCACCCATTTTGTCTGCAATACTGTCGACTCTGCAAAATCGAAATGTTGTCTTTGAGATTCATGAATGTTACTCAGTAGCAGCAGGCAGCTTCTTAAGTAAGTGTTACTGTGCAAAGAAACATGTAAAGTGTTTTATAAGTGGCTCGACATGGTCTTCTTTAATAAACCAAAGTGAGGTTGTGTTTTAAGTGACACGACATTGTCTCTAAATAAACCAATAGAGGTGGGAGGGTGTTGCCTGGTGGCCTCGTCCATGAGGTAGTGACGTGTGTGTACTGAACACCTATGATGGACAAATGAGAGAAAGTATCATATAAAAGTCATACTTTATTGAAGCCTCCAACGAGTGACCAGAAGTATACAGTGAATCAATGACAGTGCAAAATCTTAGTCTAAGAGAAATATATATTTATGTAAATGTCATCAGAGTAATTATCTGAGGATATTAAACTGGTATGTTCAGCTTTTTTTTATATGGGAAAAACATTATCTTTAATATAAGGTAAGGAGTAGTTTCTTCTGACACGACATACCGCACACATTAATATACTGATCCTCTTATCACTTGATGTCAAAAGCGAATGTTTAAAAGATTTTAATAAGAGAAAAACAAACGGGTTGGAAATCAGTGAGTGACTAGTTGAGTGTCACCTTGTTGGCTGGTACTGCTGTTTACTGATCACAACGTCATGTTAAAAACTAGTTAAATATGATACACAAGACATAAAAAATAACTATTATCTCTCCTAAGATAAACGACACAAAAGAAATGAACACCAGAGCCAATAAATACGTGCCTCAAGTCAAATGAATAAATAAATAAATATATATATATATATATTTATATATACACAACAATATAGAGATGAAGTTCCTTAGCCTACTGAGCCACGTCACAATGTTAATAGCGTTCTTACTGAGATGTTTCTTAATCTTTTTAGAAAGTTGAAGACATTTATAGGCGCCGTCATGTACGTTCCTCTGCGATGCATTGTGGAGGAGTCAAGCGAGTAGCTATAGTATTACTACACTGTTATAATTATTTCTTTTTACTATGTTTATTGAATCTCAATATAACTCTTAACTCGAGCCATGACCCCAAGTGACTCAACTATCACAACAGAACACAGTAATAATCTCAATATCAATGGTTAATAAAGTCGTTTTTCCCCTGGAGTGATATCTTGTTTAGAATAATTTTGAGTATAGAGTATAGCCAACGTGACCCTCACCCGTCGTATGTGTGTGTGAGGACTGACTGACTGACTCACGGGAGCATCGCATGAAGAATGTACCAAGTATTATGTACAATGTTAACAATTGATCATTAATCATCAAGGGGCCTTTGTGAGTATCTTATTATGGAACAATGCAAAAAAAAGAATAATTGTAATAATAATAATAATAATAAAAAACAAAACATTTAATCATATACCCTTGAGCTGACATTAGTTGAAGAAAAACACAAACAGTGCTGCATAAAATCAAAATTAAGTGAAAAACAACCCATAAAAAATTGTGTTAATATCAAGTTAGTGAGACACATGCTCTAGTGCTGCTGAAGCCAAGACACACATACAGTAACACGTAGCGGCATCTTGACTCCAGCCGTACATAGTAAATCTAACCTGCTCTCTCACGACGCCTGTGCCACCTCACTCCCACACTGGCTGCCCAATTCTTTATTATTATGGTCAAATTATTATGTTTACAAGATATTATTTGTATTATTATTATAAGAGGTGTGTGTGTGTGTGTGTGTGTGTGTGTGTGTGTGTGTGTGTGTGTGTGTGTGTGTGTGTGTGTGTGAGATGATACTGTGTGGTGATAATTGTTGGTATGAATATTAATAAGAAAATTTTTATGAGTGGTAGGTGTGTGTGTGTGTGTGTGTGTGTGTGTGGTGGGACAGGTGTGGTATTTCATAAGGGGGTAGCGTGGGCAGGTGAGGGTGTGGCGGCGTCGAGCTTACCCACACCGTAATCAATACACGTGCCACCCCGCACCCCCAGAGCTTGTTATGGTGCTGCCAGCCTACGTGTTCCTCTACCTCATGAATCAAGTCCTTTTCGTGGGAGAGATACAAATTAGATGAGTGTATGAAGAGGAGGAGGAGGAGGAGGGTAATCGACTTCACACCAAGGACTGAACATCAATAATTCATGAGGTATGGAAACACACTCACACGCTTTGGGTCATGGGATTGATTTTAACCGTGAGAGCTTCACCACTTACTATTGTACTTATGATTAAACAGAGGCCCTCATTACGGGGTAAGTGTGTAAATGACTGTATGAGTTATCAGAGATTATCGTGTGTGGTTAAGAGTATGGCAACAGCTCTGGTCGTGGGTGGTGGCGACTGTAACCAAAACAAATGCCTCTTCTCTCCTGGATAATGTTACGTTAATGGATAAAATACTTATTATTTTTTTTTTATTTCGACTGAGTAAGAAAAATAACCACGTCATCAATCAAGTGTTCAGACGACATTTATTATAACATGATATGCATTGTAGATCTTTAAAGATTTAGAGAAAAATAATGTACAGTATTACTATATGTTTACTGGGTATTGTTATGTACCCTACATTAATTATACACAGATTTGAGTACATGTTATGGCCCCTGCGTGAGAGGTGGTAGGGGGAGGGCAGAGGTATCATAATGCAAAAAGTTACCTGGGAGTACATGGAGTATAATGAGTACACATGGAGGCATAATGAGTACATAATGATAAATGGTAGTAATGGAAGTACAGGATAAGGTTTCTGCCGTGTACAGTGTGTGTGTGTGTGTGTGATATATACCCACAAGAACACAGACCCTGTTCTTGTGTGATACATCAGTGAGCATTATGTCGCAGGCTACTGAACATAATGCCAATGTTCTTCAGAGGATTATAAAGAGGGTTTAGTTATTATGCTGTTAAAGAAGTATATAGAAGACTGATAAAAAATAATGAAGCTCGATTAATAAAGAGTTCTCGATACATTATTGACCTTACGTAAGTGCGGCAAAGTCTTCTAAAAAGTTGTAAACATTAGCAATTTTGATGAGCTGAAGAAACTATAAATGAAACCAAATATAATATAGTCTACAATATAGTTTTAAAGAAGAGATATTTCTATAGTTTAGTATAAAATAGAAGGTTTAAAAAGAAGAAAAGACAGTAGCATTTCTCTTGAAGGCGAAATTAAACAAGGTTGTATACAGCACAAACACTGCTGTTTAAGTAAGGCAAAAGTGCAGTGTATTGTGGGAATGTGTGTGTCTGACAGTGTGATGTATGGTGGCAGGTGGTGGCAGAGTGAGGGAGGGTGGTAGGTGATGGTGGCAGAACGAGGGAGGGTGGTAGGTGATGATGACAGAGTGAGGGAGGGTGGTGGTGATGGTGGCAGAGTGAGGGAGGGTGATGGTGATATGAGGAGAGAGAGAGAGAGAGAGAGAGAGAGAGAGAGAGAGAGAGAGAGAGAGAGAGAGAGAGAGAGAGAGAGAGAGAGAGAGAGAGAGAGAGAGAGAGAGTGTAACAGACAGAAGGTAAATAAGTTTGAAAGACTTAGGGTGTAAAAATATACTCTTAGAAAAACTAAAACTATCTCAAAACTAAAACTATCTCAAAACTAAAACTATCTCACACTAAAAAGACTATCTCATAATGTACTGTTTTACTCACATGTTTTATCATCAACTGTTTATATTTATAAACTTCAGTGGTCCCTTATATAAACACCTTACGGACCTGTACAGTATTGTCATGTTTTGTGATGAGTTTTAGGAGATCATGTCAGAAGTTCAAATTTGGCACGATGCTGCGTCTTTATGTACGAATGTGTGTGTGTGTGTAGAACGAAGACGTTTATAGCGTTAGGGACAGTGTGGATACAGCACATTGTATACTAAGCCTTCGGCACACATGGAGGCAGCATGGCCGGTACTGCACTAGACCGCATTCACTTCCCCTAAGTTGCAAACTTAGGTACCTATTTACAGCTGGGTGAACTGGGAGTGCTCGGGATCGAACCACCAACCCATGGAACAGGAGGTAAGCACTATATCCACTCGACCACCTCACTCCAAATCATGAACGTGACACTGACCTTATGGCCAAAAAATACACACACGTACACATACAAACGTTCCCATAATAGCATCATGTGAACTTTGACCCTCCTGGCGTGACCCCTTAACTACATACAATATTTTGTTAACAAAAAACTACTGTTACTACTCTCGTCATTAGTACTATGAATAGCATTACAAAAGTGAAGGTGATGTAGGTACTCAGAGAAAGAGTACATGTGAGTGAAATTTACAATAAGTAGGACGATAGTGAAATATTAAACCCTCTGAGTACAATGATTTAAACCCTTGGGTACGATAACTTAAACCCTTCAGTACGATGACTTAAACCCTTGAGTACAATGACTTAAACCCTTGAGTACGATCAGTTAAACCCTCTTGTACGATCACTTAAACCCTTGAGTACAATACCATACTACTCAAGGGAATAATATATGACCATAATCAAAAGGGTTAAAACACCTTCATTAACCAATGGACTAATTCATTGCATATTTAAGGGAGTGAGTCATTGTAAACAAAGAGAAGAGGAGAGAAATAGTAAAGACATTGTACTTGAGGAACTTATAATGATCAAACGCACCCACGTCATTGTACTATATATATAACACGATAATGAAAGGTAGTAATGGAAAAGTTTGGAGAGGTTGAGGGGAACTTTTCTAAATAGGAAAGTATAAAAGTAAAAGAAAAGTGAAACCAAGATCAAATTTAACCTTAAGATCAGTGGCGCTGTAGGTTCATAATACGGTGAAGAACAGACAAAGTGACGTATGGTTAGTCACTATATGAGAGGGATACTATAGGAGGAACAGTGTACTACAGTTATACGGAGTTTGAGGGGGGAGTAATAGGCACTGTTGTTGTGGAGTGAGAGTGAGACAAGGAGTGAGTGAGTGAAGGGGTGGGTGGGTGAGTGAGTGAAGGGTGGGTGGGTGAGTGAGTGAAGGGGTGGGTGGGTGAGTGAGTGAAGGGGTGGGTGGGTGAGTGAGTGAGAAAGGTGTATATGTGTATGTGTGTGGGAGAGTGAATTGTGTGACTGTGTATAAGAGTGACTAACAGGAAGACAGTTGCTGATACAAGTGTAAGTTTAGGAATGTTTGTCTGTTTGGTATGGAAAGTGAGGGAATGGTGAGTGAATGGTGAGAGGGGTATGGTTGAGTGTATGATGAGGAGAGGGGTATGGTTGAGTGTATGGTGAGGAAGGGGTATGGTTGAGTGTATGATGAGGAAGAGGGGTATGGTTGGTGTATGGTGAGGAAGAGGGGTATGGTTGAGTGTATGGTGAGGAAGAGGGGTATGGTTGAGTGAATGTGAGGAAGAGGGGTATGGTTGAGTGTATGATGAGGAAGAGGTATGGTTGGAGTGTATGGTGAGAAGGGGTATGGTTGGTGTATGGTGAGGAAGAGGGGTATATGGTTGAGTGTATGATAGGAAGAGGGGTATGGTTGAGTGTGAGTGAGGAAGGGGTATGGTTGAGTGTATGGTGAGGAAGGGGGTATGGTTGAGTGTATGGTGAGGAAGGGGTATGGTTGAGTGAATGGTGAGGAAGGGTATGGTTGAGTGTATGGTGAGGATGGGGGGTAAGGTGTGTGTCGCAGACCACCACTTGTGGGGGCGAGTGATCAGGGGGAGTTGTTAGGGGAGGCGTCGTGAGAGGGCACCGACGCCACGTCAGCGGGGACCACCTGCGCTACCTTGGAGTAACGATGTGAGCCCCCCGTGGGGGACTGGGACGCCCAGGGAGGGCCCACGGAGGGTGCTGCCCCCGCGACCCCAGCAGCGAGCGGGCAACGCTACCTGTGTCCACGATGACGTCTATCAGGTCCATGGACTTGGCGAAGGCGTCGCGAAGGTTGACGTGGTGGAAGGAGACTATAGAGCCTTCTCTCTTGGCTCTCTCGAGGGCCTCACGGCGCTTGAGGGCCTTCTCGCGTCGCATCTGGTTCTTGTAGAACTCGGCGAAGTTGTTGACGATGATGGGGATGGGCAGCGCAATGACCAGCACACCACAGATACAACACACGGATCCAATCACCTTGCCCAGAGGAGTGATGGGGTACATGTCTCCGTGCCCACCGTTGTCATGGTGATGCCCGCCCACCAGAAAGTCTCGGGTATACTTTTGTACACAGGATTTTCGTCTTTTTCCGCAAAATAGCAGAGGCTCGAAAAGATTAACACGCCCATGGCTAAAAACAACATCAACAAACCTAACTCTTTATATGAATTTTTCAGAGTAAAACCCAAACTTTGAAGACCCGTCGAGTGTCGGGCAAGCTTTAGAATTCTGAGAATTCTCATAATTCTGAAGATCTGAACGATCCTTCTCACGTCCTGGAATTGGTCTGTGTGTTTGTTTGACTCTATAAGGAACAAGGAAACAAAGTAGGGTAGAATGGCGAGTAAGTCTATAACGTTCATTGCGCCTTTAAAGAATTTCCACTTGTTGGGGCTTGCGGCGAACCGCAGGACGTACTCGAGCGTGAACCAGGTGATGCACACTGCTTCCACCATGGCCAGTTTCTCATTGTCTCCTTGCTCGGGACCCTGAAAGCTCGGCACTGTGTTGAGCACGAGCGCAAGCGTCGACATGACGATGAAGATCACGGAGATCACAGCCAGCACCTGCGGAAACCAAGAACCCACACCGTCACCCGAGTGCTCCCTGGCTCTGGCCGGAGCCTCTCCCTCTGGGGATTGTCTCCTGCTGCTTCTGCCCTCCCTCATGCAGCTTTTTACACCGGCAGGAGTTAGGCAGAGCAACAAACTTCACAGTCGCCGCCGAATACAACTACACGGCCGAGGAAAAAACAGTCACTTAATCCAATAGTGTTTTGATTTCCATCTCGCGTTACGTCTCCAAGTGACTACTTATAACTACTGTACCTCAGGCTGGATAATTAATACCGTAATTGTACCACTGCTACTGTTACCTTCTAACGTACATCTGATATAATTTACATTGTTCTTTCCTCAATATAACTCTCAATGTTTGTTTGCCCTGTCATGACCTCTAACATATCATAAACCAGGCGCGTCAGGAGCAACACTACCGTCGGTCTCAGGTGAACGCCACGGTCACTAGTTTCTGGCAACAACCGGGTCTTATCTTTCCCTCATCCAATTACATAAAAACTAATACAAATCCTTTAACGTGGTCACTTAACAATGCCATTAGAAAATTGTTTACCGGTATTTGTTTATTGGCGGTAAATTTAAATGACGAACAATACTATTACTGTGAAATAATTTAAGACACTCCATCATGATAATTATAATTGATTTCTTAGAATTCTATAATCGCTGAGTTATCACGAATTAAAAAAATATTATGAGCAGTGTTTCTGGACAATATAGCATAGTTATAAATCATCATCATTACTATCATTGTTATCATTATAATTACTACTATTAGCGTTAATTGCCGTCATCATCATCACTATTAGCGATACTATTATAACTATTATTATCATTATCAGTATTAGTTATTATCATTATTGACATTATCATCATTATCATTATTGATATTATTATCATTATAAGTTATTATCATTATCATTATTATCATTATCATTATTGATATTATTATCATTATCATTATTAATTATTATCATTATCGTTATTGATATTATTATCATTATCATTATTAGTTACCATCATTATTTGTATTATTATCATTATTAGTTATTATCGGTATTATGATCATTATTACTACCAATAACATAATAATCATGTATATTATTATCATTATTGTTATTTTTTAAAGCACCGTACAAAGATTGGCCACTGACGTAGCAATTAATATTACTATCACTCGGCTGTTGTTATCCCAGGCAGGTTAAAGCCGGCAAAAAGAGTGGGGGGGCGGGTTAAATTTTGTCCGGGATTCGGTTGGTAACATAATGCAGGAAAGTTTAACCTTCTGAAGACGATGGTTCAACAAGATGATGGTTTTAACTCCTTAGGGTGATGGTGCTTGTTTAATGGCGATGGTTTAACCCTTTGAGTACAATGTTTTAACCTCTTGAGAACAGCAATTAAAGCTAACTAACTATAGCCAAAGGTCAAACGAGGCCCTAATGACGTCATTTTGGTGTATGTAGGTCAAGGCTCACAAGGTCACAGTGAGTTAATATTTATTATTAGGGTGATTATGTAGTTAGATGATTGTTTAGCTCGTAAGCCTTTCGAGAGGTATTATCATCATATTGTAACCATCATCAATCGTGTTGTCGTCATTAACATTACTTTACTCGTGTCTTTAGTTCAACTTAATACATAAATCGGTGCAGAGCTTCTTAACACCACGTCACTCATGAATTATTAAAGTGTCTATACACACTATCCTTATATATATTACGTGACTCCATTGTTAAAGACATTTACTAATAAACTTACCAATTCAATACATATTACGGCAGCAATGAACGCCATGGCGGGAGAGTTCGTGTTTGCTGTTGTTGACGTCGAAGCGAGTAGGAAAAAAATAATCTTAAATGAATGAAACAAAGTAAAACTAATTTCTTCACTATGAAATTATATTCTTAATGTGTAGAGGCGGCCGGGGTGTTGTCGTGGCCTGGTCAACAGTGTGTACACGTTTGTTCGGTATTTTTTGTGACAGTAAAACATAATTATGGTGCATATTACTGAAAGAACACATAATATGTAAAAAGAATATGTGATTATGTATAATACCACAAACACAAGGTAAATAATGACACACAAACACACTGTTCATGTTAGTGGTTGGAGTGCGACTGTAACCAAGGAGACGTGTTGGGATTGAGTTAAAAAATTATATATATATATATATATATATATATATATATATATATATATATTATATATATATATATATATATATATATAATATATATATATATATATATATATATATATATATATATATATATATATATATATATATATATATATAATTAGGATAAAATCAAATTGGGAATTAATTACCGAAATAAAAGAAAAGAAATAATCGCCTTTTGGACTGATGTAGTTAAGATCATGAATGTTGACAAGGGGGGGGGGCACTCCTGGCAAGTGAGATCAGGTAATTGAGCCCAACAATATTAAGTAAACTGGTAAAAAAATGGGCAATTAGACATACATATACAAAATATTTGAATAAATAGATAAATGAAAGCAATGGAGGAAGTCAGGCACTGAAAATAGCTGACATCTGAGGGTGCTTCCTTCACAACAGGAATACCGAGGCGCTCAACAAGGCAGCCTCTTGTGAACTGTGAGTACAAGTTTTACTTTCCTATTTGACATTAAGCGGTATTCCAACATTGTGGGTATTTAGGTCTGGGTGATGTTTGGCTCTTGAAGGAGTCAGACAAAACTCAGATATAAAACATTTTAAGTTAAGTTATAAGTTATACAAGAAGGTGAGTTAGTCGTCCACTGATAACGTGCTAACTTCAGGGACTCTTGAAACTGTAACATGAAAGGCGATACTGAAATGTGATAATATAAATGAAAGGTGCAAAATGTTATAAGTGAGGTGATAAATATTGTAGTTTGGTAAGTTTCAGGCAACAGACATAAATTAATTAAAATGTAAACCAAAGAAGGTGCGTGACAGAGGCGATGTAGAGGAGTGTGGGGAAGGGGGTGTGTCTATACCAGGGAGCACTCAGGTCCGGCAGCCCGGCGCGGGGCCTTAACCTATTTATTAGTTTTCTAAGCACACAGTCGTCCTCCTATATCCGCAAATTTGATTCTCTAACAGTTGCTAACTGAATCTTCTCTGGCCTAGGTACTGTATATGCATTTTCCTAAGAAGTGAACAGAAGTAGGCCCTAGTTAAATAAGGATTATTATCATAATCATTATTGTTATTAATTAATAATATTAGTATTTTAGATCGTGAGGTTTAAGTCGAGAAAGAAAGGCAGGGATAAGAGTCGAGGTAAGGTCCCCCAGGCCGGGCCCAGCTTCATAGTCTGACCGTAATATTTCTATTACTGCCATACCATAATTGTGACCCCGCTCTCAGGGCTGTCATGTCCGGTGTCAGAGTTGAGTTAAGGAATCTTTTGCTTAGGATCATCCCTTACCGACCCGTGACAACGTGGCATGACAGTCCTCCAAGGAGCTCCTCGTTATTGACTCACTAAATCATCGGGACGTCGACAAGGTTTATCAATGAAAACCCATACGGGAAGGTCCCATTATGTTTTTCATTGTCAGTGCAGCCGTCGTCCCTGAGTGTGAAGGTCGAGAAGAGCGCCGCGGGCAGTCGGGCGCCGGTAACAGACACAAGCAGAGAAGGTAAGCGACACCTGCCACACATTATAAGGGAAGGCGAGGTGACGCTAGAAGAATGCCGATCGCGGAAGACTAAACAACGTCTCGCTCTCACAATTTGTGGCGTCACAAGACGATGCTGTGAATGCCTTGAGCGTGCAGATCTCATGCGGCACTGTGATTCTTGCGGTCATTGCGCTGAACCCTCCCGGCCCCTGCCCCAGGGGCGGCCTAGCTGGCCACCTGCGAGTCGCCCGGGCCGCTGACCACCACTTACCTCCCACCCGGACCATCCAGGGTCGGGCAGGTGGTGGGCGGCTGGGCAGCAACGCGACACCCGCATGACAACAGCAACTACTGTGCGGGCGTGGCGTGCATCACGCTGGTCATGCTGGTGGTGGCGGGCAAGGTCGCCCCGGGGGCACATATCCACCACACACAAGCGGTGCTACACCTACACGGCGCACGGCCAACATGCCCACTATCTCGCGATGCCACGCCTACAATATCAGGCGTGGCGAGACGAAGTGTGGGCCGGCCTCTACTTCACATAAGTGTGAACATCCAATAATACAGTGTGCCGGGAGCGTCTGCCTGGCTTCGTGTTGTGGACTCTGATGTTCCGTGATGAAGGAGCTGGAGAGGCTGTGGGCGGGCGTGCTACTGTGACTGCAGTACGGGGTAAACTACGATCAGGGCGCAGGGCAGGAGGTGCTGGAGTGCTGAGTTAGTGTGACACAAGGACGGACAACACGGAGGAGGAGGGACTAAGAAGGTGGTGAGGGAGGTGGTTGTTGTAGTCGGGACAGGATGGAGCACTGTACTGTACACCAATATTAGGACAAACACAGGGTCTGGGTAAGTGCCTTAACCCGGGAGTTGATGCCTGAATGGTAAGAAGTTATGGTTCTGGGAAAGGTGCCATAACCCCCGGGAGGAGAGCCATGACCCTGAGAAAGGTGCCATGACTTTCAGGGCGTGAGGCAGAACGAGCAGGCAGACACTCACGGCGACACAGTCTGTAAGAAATGCAGTTGTCTCCAAACATTAACATGAAGCCTTTACTCAGTAGACGCACAGATAGTACACAGCAAGGGATCAGCTGGTGGAGGATGCACACAGGAGGACCTATACACTACACTCACACCTCCGCCCATCACACATACATCGACTGGTGGGGACATGGTGAAGTGTTGTGTGTTGTTATGTGTTCAGTGTTCTCATAACCCCAAAGAACAGTGTATAAACAACTACAACTCCATATACCAGTTCAAATCCAGTCGCTTATTCTCAGTTACCTTGAAGTAATAATTGTCTCTTGGTATGTTGTGTTAGTTATCAACATCTCCAGCCAG